GGGAAAGATGACTGTATATGCAGTTTGGATATTCAAAAGTATGACATGCTCACGGAATTATATTTCACTAAACAGGCACGTTTTTCTTAAATCATAAGCAATTCCTGCTTTGCAAAATATGTGTGATCAATAACCATAAATATTTTCAAATTCAAAATCAGAATTGTATCCAATCTTGGTTGAAAATACAAGCCATATAGCATCATTCCCCTTCTTTGTCTGTATGTTCTTAGGGTAAAATTCATCTCAGTTAACATTAATGATATAAAATGTAGGTGTCTGCATCAGTGCTAATCACCATCAACTCTTTTTCTAGTCACTGCAGAAAAATATGCACTTTCAGGGCACAAGCTGTCTAATTAAATTTAGACTTGTACTTTAGGATAAGATGAATCATTTCCTCAAAGTGCATGCTCTTTCCACTGACGATAAAGGAAGTTAAGAAAACTAGATGATACATAAATGCCTACCTTTATCACTTAGCCTAAGAGACAGGTTTTGAGAGAATACACTGAAAATTCTTTTTTTTTTCCAAAACTATTCTGTATTATTATAACATTAAATCCTAGAATTCTGCAGTCATTTCTACATGCATTTGCTAGGAGCAAGCACAAAAGCTGATCTGGTTAATCATTTGCAGTATTTACTCATTTTTGACTGTGACAAGTATGAACATGTATCTGACATACCTCAATGGTTGCAGATTTATTGTGTGCTTGTTTTATTTGACTGATATGTTGCAATATTCATCACAGTTTGTGTTACAAAGCCAAACCAAGGAATAGATCACTAACATTGTTATTTGCCAAAGCTATGTCATCTTCCAAGAGCTTGAAGGGAGCTGCAGTGAATTCCCCAAGCTGAGTTTCTGGTTATCATGTCACATACATCTTAAATCATGTTAGTGCACTTATATTCAAGCTGTGATACTGTAGTTATTTTTAAATGTCAATTTTAAAAAATGTGAGTTTTTAATCTATATCAGTTTCACTATAATGTGGAAGCAAACCTATTTGTGCCTTTGACCAAATTATTTAGTCCATCAACAACTTCTCTGTTGTCTCCAAAAAGTGGTATTATTTTCTGCTGCACTGGGAAAAGAGACTGCAAGGCTCAGTGAATGTTTGTTCTGTCTTTTGAACATGAACTGTGATCCATGAAGGCAAGAAGTTGCCAGTTCTTCAGGACAGGGCCTAGAGCTAAGATTTCAAAGCAGGAAAGGAGACAGATCTATAAGTTTCCCATTACTTATTGAGTACCTTGCATTGCAGGGAAAAGTTTTGCCTATATCTTACTTGTTCATTTGAAAGAAAGCCAAATACTTTGTGGAGAAGTGTACATGAGGAGAAAAACCTCCACATATTTGGGATGCAAGCAGACTTTTTCTAAATGAGTTGTAAACTATCAAAAATAAGAGTCAAAAGGATTCTGTGCTAGTTTCAAATGCAAGCTGCATGTTGCAGGTATTACTGTTAGTTTCTTTAGTAAAAGCAGCTTTAATTTGTAATAAAACAATTAACACCATTTTCTACAGACAAAATATTCTGTCCTTTTTATTTTTAGAACATTAAATAAGAGGCATTCCATCATAGGAATGGTAATAATATTGATACAAGGCATGGGTTGACATAGGTTTTGTCTAACCCATCTGTTGTTGATCTTGCCTTATCAGGACTGTAGCAGCTGCACATCATGGTTGTTCCCTTTTTGCATCACTTGACGTTATATTTTGGTTAAACAATGAAGGGCAGCCTCGCTGTCCATCCTTGCTCTGTGCTGACTCATGCCCATTCCCAAAGTCTAATGTATCACTATGCGCTGAATAACACTCATAGTCCTTGAGCATCTCAAGGGCAAACAGCTTTGATCCCAAGAGATGAAAACCCAATTTGTTTCATAAATTCTGCACTTACTTGAAATGAAGAGTTACATCAGTGGGTAGGCTTTCTAGCTAATGTGTGACCTCCTTCTTCTGAATTTGTATCCCATAGATAATTGCACTATTTGATAAAATAGTATACTAGAGGAACATTTTCAGTCATAAAGAAGACACTCAGATTACCAGTTCATTATTTTAATCACTTTTGGTTTAACTTCTTCCCATGATTAAGCACCTGCAAAGTTATAGCTGTCTTATTGGAGAAAGGCTCTCAACATTACGTTACTGATGTTATATAATTCAGAATCTCTGTCTCTCTGGCTATAAAAACACCTTTCTAGAGAAAACAATATGACATTTTTGTTTCTTTTTTCTTTCTTCTTTCTCTCCCACAGATTGTGAGTGTAGGAAAGCATGTTAAAGGATACCATTATATTGTTGCCAACCTGGTAAGATACTTTTCTAGAATTATACCCCTGCTTGGTAAGTGCAACACTTGGTTTTGCTTTGAAGTTATAGCACTTCACACAGCATTTCCCATTTGTCACTAATATGTGGTTGCGCATAATACATTTTTTATGGTGCGTAAAAGAACTTGGTTTTGTTGTTAAAGCCATCTAGACAAGAAGGGCACAATGTTACCCTCTTAAATTTTATCAAAATCAGTGTAGCATAAAGGACTGCAAAGTATGTCTTGTAGCTGAATTAGAATTTACAGAACTACACTATGATTTTTGACTCATCTTTTTAATATTACTAAAATAACAATTCTCAAGGTAACTTTTCTGCATTCTCCGGGGAACATTCATTTTGCTGTAAGATCAGCTATTTCCAGTCAAATTACTAGTTCAGTATTTTCATTCTAAGTCTAAACTGCACATTCACACAGATAATGTTCAGAAGAGGGCAAAGGAAGAGTAAATGCAATATTTTATTATTAAAATAACCCATTTTTTACGCCAAAATACCTGTCTGGCTAAGCACAGTGGACAGAGTCTAATGTATGCTTTAAATTGTTTTCTTTTTACTTTCCCTCAAGGAATTTCAGTTAACATGAAATATGTTATTGTGCTTTGCTATACTTGTACCCGGACTTCAGATCACTTCATACTATTTTTAAGACCTCAAGCCTTTTAAACAAGGCATGTCTATTCTCTTAGGTCTTGCAAATTAGATTTTTGGTATTACAAATTTATAGTTCCCAAAGTAACTTTTCCCATGCAAAACGGCTGCTATAGACAAGGAACTGAATGTTGCGGTGAATTGTTAGTGGGATATACAGTAGACAGGCACATCTACTCATCTATTTCAGCAGGGGCGCACGTTGCTATCTACTGGCTGTTCAGTATGGGTAATATGACTTCCTGATGCATCCCCTTTTATATTTACTGTCAGTATCCTGTAGGGCATGAATCAAATCTCTGTCTTTAACAGGTTTTTTTCTCTGGAGTATTGGGTCAGAACCCCACAATTCTTTTCCCTCCAAGGTTTTTTAAGTTGATTGTGATAATACACTTCTGTTTGCACTGATGAATGCCAGTCAGAGGAATTTAGGAAAATAAAAATAATACCTCTGAGCTAGCATTAAACATAGCAGCTAGGAAGGGAGAAGAAAGATTCATGCTTGCTTCTTAGCTTGCTTTAGTAGTTTGCAGTATGCAGTTTCTTGAAGTTCAGTTATGTCTCTAAAGGCAAATTTTACTGCAGAATTTGTCTTGATAACGTGCTGAAAAGATTACCCTAAGAAACTCATAAGTCAGGAAGCTTATGTACTTTATTTTTTCTTTTAATGTTGGAGGTCACTCTAGGCTTTAAATATATAGCAGATCTGAGAGCTACCACCATCATATTTCACAGAAGTTTGATGCTGATTTTATATTTTCCTTGAACTAACAGTTAGATCCTCATGTGCTGTCTCTGCCTTCTAATATGTTATTATATTATCTCATTATCTCATTATCTCAGCTAAACAATGAATCCTTAAATAAATGTATTTACACAATAGCGTTGTTCGTTTTGCAAACATGCAAAGAATCAGGGATATATTGGGTAAAGCACCAGTATAGTGTTTATTCAAATATGCCAACTTTCATGAAAATTGGGTTAAGGCTTTAGTATTCTGCAGGCACTTTTCAGTTGCTTCGCCAAAGACATTTTTCAAAAACGTTCTGCCATTCCTAGCGATGTGTTGCTTAGCTGTCAAGACCACCCTAGCAATAATGTGGGAATTTTATTTCTTGGTTTTGTTTCATTCCTTGTTACATGAATGGTAATTGTGAACAAAATTTCTATATTAGTTGCTGGTTTTAAGTCTTAGCTTCTAAGGGAAACTTGCTGCTATACATGCTTTATGCTGCCTTGCTGACCTAGAACAGATTGGAGACATGGTGGTGTACAAGGACAAGCAAAATCTTAAATTTATTTTCTAGGGATTCAAAGATATTTCTCTGGATAGATTTATGCATGGAGGAGCCAATGTGACTGGATTTCAGCTAGTAGATTTCAGTACTCCGATGGTAACTAAGCTGATGCAGCGCTGGAAGAAGCTGGACCAGAGAGAATACCCAGGATCTGAGACCCCACCAAAGGTACTAACTGACCTGAAGTGCTACCAAAGACATCACTTAAGTGTTCTAATTTCTGTTTAATGTTGTTGAATAAATGAATGAAGACCTTAATAATTAGGCAGAGGAGAAGGCAGTTGATCGTACTATTAGTGGCAACTAATTATGTCTATCGTTATGAATGTATGATAGAAACACAGGCTGCAACACATTTCCCTGAGGTACTTTAATGTCCTTTGTCACTTTTTCTCCAAGTTTGCCCCTTTACTGACAGGAATTAAAGGTCAAATTCTTAACTGACAACTTAATTTCAACCAATTTTATGTGAATTAGTCTAATTATCTAGGTTCACTTAGAGTGCAGAGCTTTCCCAATAGCTGAACTCTTCTGCATATGAGCTATAACCACATTTGTAAATCTGCTACTCTTAAAATTTCATTTGGAGTTTCCTCTGGAAATTCTATCCACCTCAAAACCTGATGTAGTAATCACGTTCAGGCGTGATCTTACAGTGAAATTACATCCCACCATTCCTCGATCCTAGTCCCTCGCAGATGGATAATGAAATATTTGTCTCACCTATAATTTTCTTGGCAGGCAGTTTGCAGCATAGCTATAAATACGACTTCATCAAAATAGTTGTTATTATGTGTACTAATCAGACCTATCTGAGACTGGGCTCCTTTGTGCTGGGGATTGTGCAAAGATAAGCAGTCTGCTGGGAGAGTGGTAGGTTGGCAAAGTATAGAGAAATTATCAACATGGATAATACAAAGCACAGCTACATAATTCAGTGAATAGTCAAGAAATGTATGTTCTGGAAGAAAAACAAAAACAAGGATGCTGTGGGCTATGGAGTGCAGACATCCCCAAGTCCTGGTGACAAGAACAATTTAACCTATAGGACCACTTGCCATATGAACAGGATTGTGCTGCCTCCTTCTGAGAAGTTAGCATGATTAGTTTTGAAGCGTATCAATAGCAGTCCTGGACATGTGAAGAACTACTCCTGGTGCACCATGTTCTTCAGAGGACCACACTGAGAAAAAGTCCCCTTATTTATGTGACTCCAAGATAACATGTGTTGAAGACTTGCCCTACACGTTTTATTTGACACGTTCTCAACCTAAAGCAGTTACTGTAGTTAGTGTAGAAGCACAGACCATTCAATGCTCTATGTCATTCAGAGTCAACATAGGTTTTCCAATAGGAAGAACATTCTTCATCTTTCTTAACAATTGCAATAGCCTGTATGTCTGCTCATTAGATGTGCATTTTTCAGTTGTATTTTCTTAGTGAGATACTGTTTGTTTCTTTTCTTTTGAGTAAGCTGGATGGGCAGGGTTATTTTCTAATAACAACTGGAAAAAAAACTTGAATATCTCCAGTTTAAGTTGTGTCTTTTAATAATTCTTCAGAGGCAGATTTCTCTTTCCTTAAGAAATACAGTTTTGAAGCTGGAGTTACTGAAATATACTCTTCTCAGTCCTGCATTTCTTCCTTAGACAAAATTGCTTTTGATTTTGAGGAGCTTTTTCTGCTAAATGAAGGTGTTTAAATTGCTGCATAATGAATCAAACTAGAAATATCTGAGACAGCTGATTTTTGTAAAGACATGCCAACTCTAAAGCGGTGTGTTTGTCCATCTATTTAGTATACATCTGCATTAACATATGATGGAGTACTTGTGATGGCTGAAACTTTCCGTAATCTTAGAAGACAGAAAATTGATATTTCAAGGAGAGGAAATGCTGGTGATTGTCTTGCTAACCCTGCAGCCCCATGGGGTCAAGGAATTGATATGGAGAGGACATTAAAACAGGTAAGGGTAGGCTTTATTCGAGTGATCTTTGTCAATAATGGATACTGGTTGTACACTATATGATTTGGAAGCTATTATACACAACAGTAGTAATGAGAGAGAGGAAATTTATTTTTCAGATTCCATTTGGAATCAACTGGGGCTGTTCTTGTTGTTTTGGTTTATAACTTGGAATGAAGGCAGAGGGCAACTGCTACTATTTGAAATTACTGTTATTTCTATTAAGATAGTTGCGACTTCCTCCACTAAACTGATGAGCTCATCTGTTGCTTTTGCATGTAACCTGGGTGTACAGATATTGTCATTTAAGGAAAAAGTTATAGCTACATAATATAACCTTTCAAATATGTTTCTGTCATCTTCAATAAAAGTAGGTTTCTTCCAGGGAAATCACATAGGTAGTATTTTTTTCTTTAAAAAGAAATAACCTAGAGCTATTGTTCTCTGATGTCAGGATTTTGAATTCCTGATGAATATAGATGCCTAGAAAGTTCCAGATCTGTGTCAAGATGATTTAGCCTTTCTTTTGAATGGGACAGTAAGAAAATAAAAATCCTGCAGTAGAATTTAAATCATTGCAAATGAGCAGGCTTGACTCAGGAGAAACTGCTGAGAAGTGACTGCTGACAGAGCTGGCAGCTCTGTGCCTGGAAGCCAGGGTTTCAGTCCTGGAGAAAAATCAGCAGAAATAGAAATGGACAGAGGGAAGGAGTAAATGGTTTAAAACCACATCCTGACTCTTAAGGATAGAAATAAAGAGTTTTGAATCCTTCACATACTCCATACAGATGCACAGATCTATATCACTTGTGAAAAGCATGAAGTCAGGCTTCTGTGTTAGGGTGGACAGCATGAGCTGGCCTAAGAGGTTTGCATGGCTGGATCCCAATACAAGCAAAGCCAGCAGCAATAGGCCATGGCATCTTTGGGATGAGGACCACAGTTTGGGTATCCTGTGGTGAGGTGATAAAGCACTGAAAGAAAAAAAGAGTTATGGTTTCAGCTGAGACACAGGTGGTGGGAACTGCCACAGCCAATGTTATGGCTTTACATCTGTCCTTGTCCACTCTGAGGTTTGAAACCACTCTCTTCAGGCCCTATGCATGTCACACATCTTCTGTGGTAGTAAATTGCTTTGCTGGGGCCAAGATTGTTGTCAAGTTTACCTTGGTGAGCAATATATACTCAACTTATACATTTAATCCACCAGAATGTAAGCTAAAAAGATATATGAGCTCAGATCAAACATCCTTTAGGTTTAGTTCATGTGATACAAAATACTCTGCAGCAGTGATGAGAATCATAAAAAAGATGTATTTCTCTTTAGAAACTGCAGCTTAAAAGTGTTGAGCTGCACAGCATGAAAGACGAGAAGGTCCACTGTGTGTCTTTGTTAGCACCTAGATACCAGCATATCTAAGCCTATTTTGAGCATGGTTTGACAGGAAAAAGGAATACAAAGGAAAAGTAGCCAACTTCTTTGCTTTATAATGCCTGTCTGTTCTAGTGTAGTGTTGTTATGGTAATCTAAGGACAAAGCTAGGATAACTTTCACTGCTCTGTGACATTTGGAATAAAGAATCTAAGACTGGATCTTCATGACACTTTTTCTTCCATTTGTAGGTTCGAATACAAGGATTGACAGGAAATGTTCAGTTTGACCACTATGGTCGCAGAGTCAACTACACCATGGATGTCTTTGAGCTGAAGAACACAGGCCCTCGGAAGGTACATGCTGTCAATGTTTACTATCCTGATACCATATAAACGAGTTGTGTGATGAAATGATTATGCAAACTTATATTAAACTGGACTCTGTGTGGTTTAAAAAAAGATAATTTATTGAATACATGGCTGATATTTCTGATGGAAGCAGATTTTAACTGTATTTTCTCCTAGATAACTATTATTCACTGTAACAAATCAGGGAACACAAAAACAAGTGTTCATCTTGGAGAGATGGGATGTCAGTCAGTGAAGCATACTAATGAAAACCAGCTGGATGGCATGTTGCTAGGCTGCTGGGTGACAGAAAATGGTCAGAACTCTGAATAGTAGATATTTCTTGTATCTTATCCAAAGATTTTTATCTTGCAAATTACTGGCATTTTTAAGGAGGGATCATTTGTATGTTCTGTGTAAACATGAATCATAGGCTGTAACTAACATAGCAACCTGTGTTCATTAAAGCTCAAACACTGCTTTCTCAAATTGAATTGAATTTAGTTAAATAGTCCTCTGATGTTGGGCTGGAGATGACAAGCCCAGTAAAGAGTACCCCAGGTGAACCGTGTCTCCCCAAAGACTGTTACATGTACAGTCATGACGAGGCAGAGTATTAAACCACAGACCCAGAGCACAATTACACACTAGGGTGAACAAATTGTGAATATATCACAGTATAGAGCTGTAGACCAAAGCAAAGCATGTGCCTGGGTATGAGGCATATTGGTACAATTGCCTTTTGAAAGTATGACAGATGGCTGAAGAATAAATTGGGAAAGGTGAGTCTGTCTTCCTTCTCTCTTGGGAAGCCCAGTGTCTCCTGCTAGGCAACGTGTCTTTCCTGCTCCCTTCCCGGATGTGCACTGCGCTGTCGGCAGCCAGGAGGATGTACGGGTGACTGAGGTGTATCAAAGGCAAGTGGTAAAATACGACCTTTCCATCCTCGATTCCCAATTGTACAGGAGGGAAGGCAAGGTGGGAAAGATGTGGTTAATTAGGAAAAAATTCAGTAGCTCATGTGCTTGGCAGCAAACTGTCAAAAGAGGCCCGTTGCTCCTGTTCAGCATTTGTCACATGTTTTGGGAGAGATGTCTGTCTGGCACCACTGCAGAGATGTCCATACTCTCTCTTCTTGCCTGCAATTTAAGGGAAAGGTAGCTGCAAATAGAGAAGCTATATTTGTGCTGAGCTGGAGTCCCAAGGTGCTTTTCTTACCTTTTCAGGTGTGCCTTCCTGTCACTCTTAAGCCATTACCTGTTTTTGATATAACAAGCTGCAACAGCTTTGACAGATCAGGCTACTCACAAGAATTTATTTCTCATGTATCACACAGTAATTTATATGTGATCATTGGACCAATTCTGTGCTCTAGCCTGACAAATCCTATACAATACTTGATAAATGGCTGTACTTAATTGAACTAAGAGGCCTTCACTTCTAATGTCTTCTTCTCGTGTCCTAGATAACATGTCTTATGAATCACCCAGCAGTATTTTTTCAGGACTAGCCTTTCCAGCCAGACTAACACATGCCTCTAATCTTTAGAAAAGTGATTTTTGTTGCCTACAACTTTAAGGATGTGAATAGAGCATTACAAAACAGGGCAGCTGGTCAGAGGCAGACTTCCATATAGTTTAATGAAATGGGAAACAATAGAGAATGGTCATGTGAGTTTCATTTCTTTCTTGGTTCTCATCTGCAGAACAATAACAGAACCGGCTGGTGAGGGAAAAGGGTATGAGGAGAAGGGTCACGGAGATGTAGTGGGATTGATCCTGTGACTTTAGCGTTGCAGTGGAGGAATATAGGCAGGACAAGCAGGAAAGATGAGAGGAGTGGTTGCCTTTTAAAGTAAGAGAGCAGCTGGAGTGCATGGAGCTCTGTCTGCAGATGATAAGGAGCCAGGTGAGACTTTATGGTTTAGAATTAAACAGGGGACAGGTCAAGATGACATTACAGGGGGTGTCTGCTATGGGCCACGTGACCAGAAAGAACAAGTGGGTGAGACCCTCTGCAGACAGCCTCATTTTCACAGGCCCTGGTTGTCATGGCGGACTTCAAGCATCTCAGTATCTGCTGATGTGACAACACAGCAGGACATAACCAATCCAGGAGGTTCCTGAAGTCCATTGACAACAACTTACTACTACAGGGGACAGAGCAGCCAATGATGAAAGGTGCTCTGCTAACCTCCTACTCACCAAGTAGGGGTGTTTTGGGGATGTGAAGGTCAAAGGCAGCCTTGGCTGCAGTGAGCATGAGATGATGGAGTTCAGAAGCCTGAGAGCAGGAGAGTTACATCCTGACAAATAAGAAGTCCGGCTAAAATGGCAGGAGGCCTGCATGGATGAACAAAGAGCTCCTAGCCAAACTCACACATAAAAAAGTATGCAGAGGAGAGAAGCAAGGATGGGTAACCTGGAAGGAAAACTGAAACATTGAGCATCCAGCGGTAAAGTTAGGAAAGCTAAACCCCCAGTGAAATTGAATCTGGCCATGGATGTCCAAGGCAAAAAGAAGGGCTTCTATAAAAGGGCATGGGAGACAAAGGGAACTGTAGAGGAAACTTGGGCCCTTTGCTCAATGTGTCAGAGGCCCTGAGTGCCCAGGACATGGAAGAGGCTGAAGTATTGAATGTCTTCTTTGACTCAGTTTTTATTAGCAAGACTGACCTTCGGGAATCCCAGGTCCCCAAGAGCAGAAGGGAAGGAGCAAGGAGATGTACACTAGGTGGAAGAGCATCAGGTGAGGGACTACTTAAGCAAACTAGACATAGTCCATGGACCCTTAAGGATGCAGCCACAAGTGCTGAGGGAGCTAGCAGATGTCATTGCGAGAGCACTCTCAATAATATTTGGTTGACCATGGCAACTGGGAGAAATGCCTGAAGACTGAAGGATGCCACTCCTCTCTTAAAGAAGGGCAAGAAGGAGAACCCAGAGAACTACACCTTGATCCCTGGGAAGATGATGGAGCAGTTACTCTTGGAAAGCATTTCAGGCACATTAAGGACAAGAAAATCATCATGAGTAGTCAGCATGGCTGACTTCACCATGCTGATTTCACCAAGGGGAATTCATGCTTGATCAACTTGATATACTTCTACAATTAAGTGACTGGCCTGGTAGGTGAGGAAAAGGCAGAAGATACTGTCTACCTGGACTTCACTAAGGACTTTGACACTGTGTCCCATAAGGTCCTCCTGGAGAAGCTATTGGTTTATGGGCTGAATAAGCAAACAGTGAGGTGGATTAAAACCTGGCTGAAGAGCGAGGCCTCAAGGATGGTAATCATGTGATCTGAAACTTAATTGGAGGACAGTAACTAGTGGTGTACCCCAGGGGTCAAAACTGGGTCCAATTTTAACATCTTCATTAATGATCTGGATCTTGGGCAGAGTATATCAGCAGATTTGCTGTTGTTGCCAAACTGGGAGGAGTGGCTGGTAGGCCAGATGGTCAAGCTGTGAAGCAGGAGGACCTTGACAGGCTGGAGAGATGGGCCAACAGGAATCTTATGAAGTTCAACAAGGAGAACTGCAAAGTCTTGCACCTGGGAAGGAACAATCCCAGGGACCAATACATGTGGAGGGCCACCCAACTGGAAAGCAGCTTTGCAGAAAAGGCACAGGGGGTCCTGGTGGACACCAAGTAGAACATTAGCCATTAATTTGCTCTTGCAGCAAAGGCAGCTAATGGTCTGCTGGGCTGCATTAGATGAAGTATTGGCAGCAAGTCGAGGGAGGTGATCCTTCCCCTCTACTCAGCATTCATGAGGCTGTGCTTGGAGAACTGTGTCCAGTTCTGGGCTCCTCAGTAAAAGAGAGACATGGACATGCTGGAGAGAGTCCAGTGAAGAGCCACAGATATGAATGAGTTACTGGAGTGCCTCTTCTATGATGAAACACTGAGAGAGTTAGGACTGTCTAGCGTGGAGAAGAGAAAGCTCAAGAGGGATCTTATCAATATGTACAAATACCTGAAAGGAGGGTCCAAAGAGGATGGAGTCAGGCACTTTTCAGTGGTACCCAGGCACAGGACCAGAGGCAGTGGGCACAAACTGAGACACAAGGGCTTCCCTTTGAACATTAGGAAACCCCTTTCTTACTACAAAGGTGACCAAGCATTGGCATAGGTTGCCCAGGGAGGTTGTGGAGTCTCAATCCATGGAGATTTAGAAGAGCCGTCTAGACACAGTCCTGGGCGACTAGCTCTGAGTTGTGCAGGGTTTGTGCAGGGGTTGTGCAAATGACCTCCAAAAGTCCCTTCCCACTTCAATCATTCTGTGATTCTGTCATTCACCATTCATCATGTCACCAAGATTTAAAAAGAAGATTTTTTTAAAAAGAAGAAAGAAGCAAACAAAACATACATGTATACATCTACATGCACAGGACAGTCTAAGATTTGGGTCCTAAATTCCAACTTGAGCAACTAACAAGAAAATTGATCATCAAAATTTTTGAGCGTTCTGTTGCCCTTTGCAACTTGTGGACTTCAGCAGAACTTCAGGAGTTGCTACAAGGTGCACAAGCCTTCAGAATTGGCACAGTTCATTCAAATGCCAAGCTGTTGTGACAGATTTACTTTGAGGAAGATGTTTTTTGCAATTCTGTTTCCTGAAAGACAAATTCAGCTTCAGTGTAACTTGATGCAACTGCTATAAAGTCCAATTGCAATCCAAGTAAAATTGGATGTACTTTAGTAGTTGAATTCAATCCTATTCTTTGAGGTTTTTCCTTGGGAATTTGAGGTATATGTAGGAAAGCATAGTGTTATTTAGTACCTTCATGGTGACTGTAAATCTATATACTTACACAAATGTAATGATATATCTTACGTATTTATTCAGTAATTCAGTTCCAGAGTTACATTAGCACAGGTCTGAGATGCACACATGCAAGCTCACACCCATGCGCACAAGCTAAAATTCCTTTAAAAATGCCTACTATTCCTCAAAAACCTCCTTTATGTCTGTCTGTGTTTTCATATGGTACTTACTTTTGTAACACAGTACATCATCCATTTCTCTCCTTCTGAACT